TAGTGTCTGCAGGACACGGAGTGTCTCGCTTGGTGTTGGCCTTTCAGCACAACTGTTCTGCCCACCCCCTGGGGTTTCTTGGTCATATGAGGAAATCTGCTTTTTGTCTGGCTTGATACAAACGGTTTCAGAGGTGGATTTTTCTCCTTAGGTTTTTTCCTAATTTTCCTAGCCTTGGGAATCGGCTGCAGTAAAGTACCTGGTGTCCATATATGTGTTCTGTGTTGGATTGTTTTGCCTCTGCTTGTCAGAAATAGTTTGAAGCACCATTGCTGCCTTGGGAGCGAAAAGCTGTCTAAGCATTGGTGTGTCCGCCTTCCACGTGAGGAAAGGCTGGGAGAGCTGGGTCTGTTCGGCTGGAGAAGAGGAGGCTGAGGGGGGATCTTATCAATGCTTATCAATACCTAAAGGGTGGATGTCAGGAGGATGGGGCCAGGCTCTTCTCAGTGGTGTCCAGTGACAGGACTGGGGGCAGTGGCCATGAACTGGAAAACAGAAGGTTCAGCATGAACGTGAGGAAACCCTTCTTCTCTGTGAGGGTGACAGAGCCCTGAGCAGGCTGTCCAGAGAGGTGTCTTCTTCCCTGGAGACTTCCCAAAGGCCCTGGACTTGTTCCTGTGTGATCTACTCCAGGGGATCCTGCCCTGGCATGGGGGTTGGACTAGATGCTCTCCAGAGGTCCCTTCCAACCTGTTCCAACCCCGACTCTGTGGATCTGTGAATCATCTTTGTCTCTTGGAGTGGCTTCCCACGTAATACTTCGTTTGCATTAGAAAACTACTGGAGTTTAATTTTTCTCGTCTCATGTGATGGCGGTGCGAGCTGCGTGAGATCCGGGATGTGTCTCCCAAGGTGGAATCTCAGTATCTACCTTCCGTCCCGGCCTCTCCCACCTGGTGACAACGTAGTTCTTTCTAAGCCATGGGAAGGAGGTTATGGACCAGCTTGTTACCCGGTTTTCCTTGGTAATCTGCATCAGATTGCTACCAGTGCCTACTCTGGGCGGCATAAGCACTATTATTCCGACTCACAGACGGGGATCTCGGCCAGCGAGACTAAAAGGCTTGGCCAGGGTCATGCCGGAAGCCTCTGGTGAAGCAGGGAGTTGAACCTGGGTCTCTGGCCACTCTCCATCGCCTCATGGGTCATCCTTCCTTTCAAAACCAGGTAAAGTTTAAGACCATTTTAAGGGATGTTTTTGAACTTGGATTTTTTGCCATCTCCTGCTTTTTTATACTACATAAAACCCTAAACCGTAAAGGTTTTGTGGCGTTCACGGACAGTACGTACATTAGACTTTGCGCAAATTCTAATGCGGTAAGCTGCAGGTGTTTTCTGTGATGAATGGTGTTTGGAGCCTGTGTGTCACGAGGTGAAAAAGGCCAAGACATTGGTCTCCTCCGCTGCGGCCTTCCTCCTGTCGCTGCGTTCACAGTGAAGCGCGCGGGGAGGTCCCATTTGAACCGCGCCGTGGCTCTCCGTAGCGTGTTAAGACCTGGGCGTTGGGGCAGTAGCTGGACAGGAACGTGTCTTCTGGAAAACAAGGCTTCAGGCTGTCTTTGTGTGTGAGATAGAGCAGAGCCACAGCTTTCTAGTGTCGCTTTTTATTGGGGCAGGCAGCAAAAAGGTGCTGCAGGAGGAGACTTACAGGTGTGTACGCACCCGCTGCCGTTTGTGTTGACAAAACCAGGTCTGTAGATTTAAAAACCCCAAACCATAAACGCGTTCGTTGTTTGCCGTTAGATACTGCTCGGGGAAGGTGTCTTTCCCCGTGGGAGGGTTTGGGGGCTCCTCTGGGTGCGTTTTTGGCGAGCAGCGTCAGTAGTAGTGCGATGCATCTCCGCACTGGTTGCGTATCGAGCTGCAGTCGTCGGTGCCCCCGTGCCGAAGCGCTGCCACCGCGCCGTCGCCGTTCTTGCCGGCGGCTTGTCGGAGCTGGCCGAGAGCGGAGTTGGTGTCGGTAGATGTGACCCTGCGAGCTGCAGGGCCACGTTTGAGAGGTAACACGTTCTGAAAAACCATGGCTTTATCACAGACGTTTCCTTCTTGACTCAGAACTACACAATTTTCAAATTAAGGTGAGAAAACCCCAGGGAATTCTCAGTTACGACGCAGCTGCTGTGCCTGAGGCTTCGGGGTTTTTCACCAGAGGCAGAATACTTCCGTTCACCACTTCAGCTCTCAGAGGGAAACGCGTTCAGTCGCTCTGGAGTCACCTGCCCTTGCTGTCCGTGCTTTAGGCATCTCTCAAGGCTCCCGGGATGGTTTTCTCGTAGAAACTAAGCGTAGTGGGCGTCAGATCCTGGATGTGCTGTAGGGATTTTCTGTTGTGCAGTCACACACTTTTGCTGTGCAAGTTGGCTTCTGCTGAGCGATTTCTGTTCAGGTTATGGAAATGGAAACTGAGACCGTGGCTGTTTACACTGAGGCTTTTGTCCTTTCTGTGGCCGTGTCACCTGTTGGAAATGACTGACAGTGCTGACAAGATCGCGTGTGCTGTTGCCTGGGTCTGGAGCAGCTGCTGTGCGTAGCTGTGTGCAGGAGAACACTCTGGGTATTGACTTGGCATGAGTAACGCCTCTCGGGTGGCTGGAAGTCAGTTTGGCAGGACTCCACTGCTTATGTTGATCATACGAAGTTGGAAGAAAAACTGAATGTTGAACGTAGAGCACGTAAAACAAACTTACTGTGACTTTTCTGTTTTGTAGGGGAGAGAAACTGTCGTAATACGATGATGTTGTAAGTCTTTTCTCCCATTTTGGCCCAGTTTGTGGCTCTGGGATTTAGAAAGGAAAACTGTAAGGGATGTTTCCTGAGTTGAGTGATGGAATAGAACGGTTTGGTGGGAAGGGACCGGCAGCAATCATCAAGTCCCACAGGCTGACCAGACGTTAAAGCGCAGCACTAAGGGCACTGCCCAAATGCCCCTTAAACGCTGGCAGGCCGGGGGCATCAACGACCTCTCCAGGAAGCCTTTTCCAGTGTTGACCCACCTCTCGGTCAAGAGGTGCTTCCTCATGCCAAGTGTGAACCTCCGTGGTGCAGCTCTGAGCCATCCCCAGGTGTGCTGTCCCTGGATCCCAGGGAGACGTTAAAGCGCAGCACTAAGGGCACTGCCCAAATGCCCCTTAAACGCTGGCAGGCCGGGGGCATCAACGACCTCTCCAGGAAGCCTTTTCCAGTGTTGACCCACCTCTCGGTCAAGAGGTGCTTCCTCATGCCAAGTGTGAACCTCCGTGGTGCAGCTCTGAGCCATCCCCAGGTGTGCTGTCCCTGGATCCCAGGGGAAGAGCTCAGCACCTCCCTCTCCACGTCCCCTCCGCAGGAAGCTGTGGAGAGCAATGAGGTCGCCCCCCAGCTGCCTCCTATCCCAACC